AAAAAAAAAAAAAAAGAAAAAGAAAAGAAAAGAAAAAAAAGAAAGAAAAAGAAACTAGGCACATCTGAAGACAGGTAAATAAGAGAGGGAGAGACAAAGCATTCTAAGCTGATCTGTTTCTCTCTAGAGTGGCCATCTCTAGGAAATCTAATCTCATTGAAAGTGATTGCAGGTGACTGTGAAGGTTATAGTCAGCTGGTCTGGAGAGGTATACCATATGAGGCCTTCTTTCCTATTAGACAGGTTTTTGCATATCATCCTGCCTACCTCTCGTCGGCCTTCTCCTTTGTCAAGTTTCTTCTTTAAGAGAAAGGAGATTGGGCCCAAATTCAAATCCAATAACATCCTACATTAGGAAAATCACATCAAGCCATTATCTTCCATTAATATCTTGGAAGAAATGAGTCCTTTGGGCTAACTCATGTTCTTCAAACTTCTTGAGATTAGGCCATGTCATACACTTGTTTTAAAAAAAGTTCCGACACATACTGCAGGCATTTGATAATGAACAACTTCCATCAAGGGACTGGAACACAGGGCAAGCCCTCGGTAGCTAGGAGGCAAATTAAAGACATTTAATTTGGTACAGGAGACAGCTATGACTCAGCAACGTGGAAAGGTTCAATCAGTAGCCTCTGTATTTTTCCTCATGTAACAAACTTCCACTAAACAGTAGCATTAAAAATGAGGGATGTTATTGCTCATTTCACAAGGAACCCAGAGTAGGGAATCTGGGCTGGGACCCAGGCACCTTCCTTCCTTCAGCCAAGCCATGCAGCTTTCTTCCCAACTGTCAACTACCGGCCACAAAACGGTGATCCCAAAAGAAAGTGATGCCCTACTTCTAGTGCCACATTCACATTCCAGGCAGAGATGAACTATGGGCAAAAAGGGGGATAGCAAATGGGTCTACCTCCTTTCAAGGAAATGGTGTTGGAAGGCTGCCTATTTATATATCTGATTGGCCAGAAGTGCAGGACACAGTCTCTCCAGACTGTAAGGGAGCCTGAGAAATGAAGCTGTTTTAGCCGGACACATCGCCAAGCCCAGCCTGTGCCCAGATGGTCTGGGCTTAGAACCTTGCTCCTTTATGTCACCGTGTGACATGGTCGTTACCAACGTACTCTGTGCCTCAATTTTCTCACCTGCAAACTAACTATGGTAATAGTACAGGGATCTCGTGAGGATCAGATGAGTTAATACGAGTGAAGAGCTTAGAATAGTTCCTAATACACAGCAAGCACTGTACCACTGTGTTCTTCTCACTTTTATTACTGAGGAAAAGAGGAATGGATATTGGATAAGCAACTAGCAGCATCTGCCACAGGTATGTTGCCCACTGTATGACTGTACCTGCCCTGGTTACTGTGCCACACGTGAGCAAGTGCCCTGCTGTACTGGAGTACTTACTGGCTCCCCAGGAGACAGGGAAACCATAACCCTACTGATATGGTTTGGCTGTGCTCCAACCCAAATCCCATCTTGAACTGTAGCTCCCACAATTCCCACGTTATGGGAGGGACCTGGAGGGGAGGTAACTGAATCATGGGAGCGGGTCTTTCCCGTGTTCTCATGATAGTGAATAAGTCTCATGAGCTCTGACAGTTTTATAAGGGGCTTCCATTTTTGCTTGGCTCTCATTTCTCTCTTGCCTGCCAGCATGTAAGGCATCCCTCTGCTCCTCCTTCATCCTCTGCCATGACTGTAAGGCCTCCCCAGCCATTGGAACTGTGAGTCCACTAAACCTCTTTCCTTTATAAGTTACCCAGTCTGGGGTTTGTCTTTATTAGCAGCATGAGAACAGACTATTACACCTACCCTACCAGAAGCGACCATTCCCACGACTGTCGGCTTCATCCCCTCTTACTGGGGACTGAGAACAACCAAAACTTTCAGGCAACCAAGCCAGGGCACCACCGTTAGCCACTGTGCCGATGCTCGTCCATTTTAGACACAGATCATTAGGACTCTTTCAAGTGTCAGTAAACCCATTCAAGCTGGCTTAAGCAAAGCTGGGAATGGATTCCTCAAATAACTGAAGAGTCAATGGTATATGCATGACTCAGGCCAGGGCGTAAATGGCTGCACACAGCTGCTCTGTTGCTCAGCTGGAATCCCTTGGTGTCGGCTCCATCCTCAGGCCTCCAGCAGGTCATGGGTGTCTTTCATGCTTCATGATCATCCTCCCTATGTCTTGGTAATTCTTCCCGTTTGACTCCTAACTCCCCAAAGTAGAAACAAGAAAATTGCTTTTCCAGTTTCTTTGGTAGCAAAAGCACAGGCAGGTAAACTAAGCTCTGCCAGCAACTTCAATGCAGAAGAGGGTAACCTGAAGATGTGGAGGGCTCCCAAAAGCCATCTTCTGCCAAGGTTAGTGGCAGAGGTGTCCAGTTTCCAGAGACAGCAGTGGTCATGATTCTGGGCTCCAATGCTGGTTTGAGTTACTAAATCTGTACTCAGAGGAGACAGCAGTGTGCTCTGTGCTAGCGAGGTCCCTTAGTGAGATCTGGACATCATTCCTAGCTTTGGAGTCACCAAGGCCTTCTTGGAGATCTTGTGGGCCACCTGATGTCCTTTAATCAACTCCTTGTCCTCTAAAACTAGTGGTGGGAGCGTTGAAGCCACTTAGGTGGTGTTATGCTTTGGTAACAACCCCAAACGTTAGTGGCTTACAATGACAAAGGTTTGTTTTGCACTTCAGTTCCACGGCCGGTGCAGGTGGGCTGCGGTTCTGTAACACAGAGCCTTCCCTCTGAAACTCAGACCAGCCTGTCTCTGGGGCATTGCTGTTCTTCTCTCAGCAAAGGGGAAAGACAGAAGCAGCCATCACACTGGCTCTTACATTTTTGCTTGGAAGTGATACACATCACTTCTGCTCACATTCAATTGGGCAAAGCAAGTCACCTGGGCAAGTCTATCAGTGAGGCCATGGTGTCAAAATCCTACATGGGGAAGACAAGTGAATATTTTGAACAAGAGGGTTCTGTTGTATGCAACCAAGAGCCCTGTCTAATATAATGCAATAGGAAGGTGGCAGCAGAACTGCCAGCCTCTAGATCATCTCACGGTCAAGTCAGGTGAATTAGGACACATCTCTGCTCAAGAAGTCAAGCAAAAACCCAGGATTAGCTTTGACTGGAACTCATCACCCTGGCTTGAGTCACCCTCAACACTGACACATTTTTTTTTCAAGACATATTCACTGAGCACTTACTATGTGCTGGAAACTATTTAGGCTCTGTGCACTACAGCAGAGAATGAAGCCAAATCCATGCCCTCATGGAACTTTCATTCCAGTCAAGGATGGTGGGGACAGACAATCAACAAAATAAATTAGTAAATATGTACAAATTAATTGCTGCAAGAAAAATAAGCAGGTAAGGGGGACAGTGAGTCTCTAGCATCAATGGAAAAGAATAGTGGCAATTTTCTTTTTCTTTTTTTTTGAAACACAGTCACTCCGCCACCCAGGCTAGAGTGCAGTGGCGTGATCTCGGCTCACTGCAACCTCTGCTTCCTAGGTACAATTAATTCTCCTGCCTCAGCCTTCCAAGTAGCTGGGATTACAGGTATACACCACCACACCCAGCTTATTTTTGTGTTTTCAGTAGAGATGGGGGTTTCACCATATTGGCCAGGCTGGTCTCAAACTCCTGACCTCGTGATCCAACCACCTCAGCCTCCCAAAGTGCTGGCATTACAGGCGTGAGCCACCGTGCCTGGCCAGCAATTTTCAATAGGCAGTCAGGAAAGGCCTCACTGAGAAGATATTTGGGTATGACCTGAGCAAGGTGAGAGAATAA